AACATCCAGAGAGGCTGGTGACCATACATCACGCCACGTCTCATTACTTTCAAACCTCAGAGGAAGACGACATTCATCCAATCCATCAAGGATGAACAAGACTTTGAATTGATTCCTTTTTGTAAGGTTCAGTCCTTTTGTCTCTGGGAAAAATGTAGATATAAGATCCATCAAACTTTGCTTTTCTTTCTCCTTTAAGTTCATCTCTCTAAATGGAAGAGGAAATATGAAGCTGATATCTTTATTTTCTTTTCCTTCAGCCCAATCCAAGACAAACTTTTGCACAGAGACGGATTTCCCGATCCCAGCAACTCCTTTTGTCAGTACAGTTCTGATCTCTTTGTCTTGTTCAGATGGTTCAAACAGATTTGTGCATTGAACTGGTATCTCTTGTGAGTCTGCACTCCTCAGTGCAACCTCAATCTGTCTGACTTCATGCTCTGTATTGACATGTTCACTACCACCCTGAGTGATATAGAGATCTGTGTAGATGTTCTTCAGAAGAGTGGAGTCACCATGCTTTGCAATTCCTTCAAACACACATTGATACTTCTTCTTTAGGCTACATTTTAGTGGATGAATGAAGAAAAGCTCATCTAAACAGAGGAACAAATACAGATAGTTATAGTTTTCTCTCCTACATGTACAAGTGTTAGTCTAGCACAGGGGTCGGGAACCTTTTTACCAAGAAGAGCCAAACAAACAAAACAAAATTGAGAAATTTTTCAAAAGAGCCAGAGCAAAGTTTACACTCATATATTAGACAAATTTGCAACAGTAATATATAATAACAACAGTAGTAATATACGACTTGCACTGGTAGCAGTTCTGGTAGTTATATAACGTTACAACAACAACACTTTTTTTTCACAAAAAAAAGTTGATTTAAAAAAAAAAAAAAAAAAAAAAACTTTCACGAGGCACATAATATACGCGCGTGCATGACAGAGAGGGAGAGAGCGACACTCAAGGTCTCACGCTCTATCCGTCTCTGCCATGCATGCGCCGCGCGATATGCATGTTATGCGTGCAGCATTGATTGATAGCGAGATAGACTATCTCGCTTTAGATTCCGGGAGATTTTAACTAATTTTCGGGCATCAGGGAGACGTTGTCAATATGCGGGAGACTCCCAAAACTTCCGGGAGACTTGGGATGTCTGATATTTTGTTCACTGACATGCTGGTTTCTAGCACATTGGACGAGAAGCGCAGGGCCTCATAAAATTCAAACACTTTATTCTCTAGGTAGGACTCCATAGACTAGGAGTGTAGTGTACACCGGTGACCGGCGGCACATTCTGTCCGCGGCGCCCAGCAACAGCTCAGGACCTTTTTCAAAATCCTGCCTCGCCACATAGCGCCATTTACATAGTTTTATATAAAACTTACTTTTATTTGTCTCAAACAGTCGTTAATGTACATACTGACTTCACCGTGTGCTGCAATTTATATTTACTTTTACATTCATTTTCAGAAATCAGCTGCTTAAATGAAAATTGCTGATGAAAATTGCTGAGGTAAAGTGTTCTGCAGGCTTAGCGACGATTGTATTTAATTGTACAGTACAATTATAACATAGTACATTATCTTAATTCTATAATGTCCTTAAACATAACAATATTGCCAGCCATAAACTGAGAAAGTGTGCGTCCGGTTTGCGATACCTATGTCCTAGACGCGGCGCGCGCTTCTCGTCCGGTGTGCGATAGTTCTGTCATAGATGCGGCGCGCGTCCGGTGTGAGACCCCCTTATGACACCACACAAATTGAGAAACGGACATCATAAACAAGTGATTAACAAGTGTTGCATGGTGCATCTCAAATTATCTCTTAATATTTTACTTTTTGAGAGACTTTTTCAGTCAACATTTGAAAATTGGGAGAGCCATATAAAATCCTGAAAAGAGCCATATATGGCTCGCGAGCCATAGGTTCCCGACCCCTGGTCTAGCAGATGGTCATGAGTCTCTTACCTTTTAGAGTATTAGCAGCTTCATCTTGCTTCATCTCTCTCAGGTAGTGCAGTGTGAGATCAAGAGCTGCTTCTTTAATACTACATCGTTTCTCGTTAAAGTCCTTCACAATGTCTTGAGTGCTCACCTTTTGTAATATGTTCTTAAATTTACCCAGCTCATCCTTCAGAAACTTGATTATTTTGCTCTCAAGATCCTACAAACAAAGCAACGAAAATCAAATAAAATTAATAATAAATCAAATTTGTACATTTAAAACATCTAAAAACATGCATTCTCTTATTTTTTGAGTTCTTAAAGGTGCAAAACTCAAGTATCTGAGTTTTTGCAGAACTACACCCCCTCTGGTGACAAGCGAAACTGCAACCAGAGGTGTGCGCGTTCATGGAGGAACACACACACACACACACACACACACACGTTTGCACGAGCTGTTCATAACCAAAGGAGCATCAGCCGCACACTGTGTGGCACACATCTTTTGTTACAGTCATAATGAGGTAATACAGTTATAAATCTGCAAGTGATTTAAAATATATGAAAGGAAAGGCATTCGAGTAAATTACACACTTATGTGTGTGTGTGCGGAAATTCTTCCATATATCTCCATGTTGAACTGTTTTATGTTCTTACTGTATCCACTTATGATTGAATTATTATGGAAACACGTTCAGTTATTACTTTGTATAGGACCCGTTTGAGCCCTAGAGCCGACCGGAGATCTCTCCGTTTGTTGAAAGCTTCCCGATGCTGACTCTCGTCTTATTCCGACGCCTGGCACTGGACAGACAGAAGTTTTATTTTCTTTGTCTTACGTGGAGTTTGCGTTGCGGTGTGGATGAACTACAAGCCGGTCTCTTTCCGTGCTATATACAGATTTAATGAAGTGCACGTCACCGAAAGCAACAGATATGAGCTGTATTTTATTAATCATCGGCTAATTTCAAAATCAGCAAAGACAGCAATAAGAAAGAGCGGCAACAGGCCTTGTAAGATCATTTCATTCCTTTACTTTTAATGAAGATGGTAGTGTCAGGAGTCTGCGACTTACTTTCAATTTGATTTGCGATAGATTGTGGCGCGCTGGCTTTATGAATAGGCACTCAGCTGCCTATATGACTAAAACAACATGACATATAGCCTGGTTTCAACAACCAGAGGCATTTACACTTGTCCAGTTTCGTCATTGGGCTGGGCGATATATCGAATATGTGCGATGTATCGTTATATTTTTTGAAACGATATGGAATGAGGCAATACCGTTTATATCGATACAGTAGTTTGATATGAGCACATCTGAAAAATAGCGGAGGTTGCAGTGTGAGCTGCTACAGTGAAAGTAGCTAGGCTACGTAGTACAATTTGTCCTAAACATGACACAAGCTTATATTAATTGCGTCAAAATCACTTTGATTTAGTTAACAAGTTTAAGGTAGCTTGCCGCCCTGTCAAATGCTCTGACAGACACTGTTGCTGACTGACAGATATACAAATGCGTTTGAGATGTGGTGCTTTCCTCAGTGCTCAACTTACATTTCACATATTCTCCATCTGTAAATGTTAGAAAGTAAAGCAAATATGTCCATTTCACAACAAATATGTCCATGTCAGAAGAGGACGAGCTTCTGCAAGTGAATCTCCGCTAAAATTCATGCTTCCTTGAACGAGCGCCGGCGCGCGCATGCGCGTGAATAGTACTACGTAGTACGCAATAATTCTGACTAAAATAAACATATTGCTAAAATATTTGTTGTTGGAGGAAATAAATGTGCCATATGTGGAATTTTAAACCTACAAGTATATATTTTTAATGAAAGTGATTATAATGGGGTAATCAAATGCAGGCTAATATAATTAGTTTGTGCTTTTGTTTTTGTTTTTATTTTCATTTTTAGTTTAGCTTTTAGTCAATATAAAAACAAAAGCTTTTTGCACATAATATATTGCATAGCCTATATTATATTTGTTTCCATATCCTTCAATATCAACATTGTTTGTAGGATATCATTGGGCCGAATGAGAATATACTATATATATATATATATATATATATTTTTTTAATATAAAGATTTTCTTTATCTAAATAGAAAACGTAGAAAGTACCGAGATATATATCGTATATCGCCATTTGACCAAAAAATATCGAGATATGATTTTTTGGCCATATCGCCCAGCCCTACTGGAATGCGGCCCAGACCACGTCCTCAAGTGGTTTGAGCGATCGGATTCAAATACGTTTCAAATACGTTTCGGAGGGCATTTACATCCTGGTTTTTTCACGATCGAATAGCTGTCCGATCACAGAAAACGCATGAAGTGACCAGGTTAAAACAGCCCCTTTGAATCCATCGTCTACTTTGACTAAAGTTGTGTCGCTCGAGTTGTCTTCTCTGATACGGAGAACGGCGGCGAATAGCTACACGAACCTGCCAGACATAGCCAAGCGAGCATGAACGGACATGACGTCACGGCCAGTCTCAGATTCGAGCCCAAATCCCTCTTAGTTATTTCACTGTACAGGATTATAGAGGCGATCGCAGTGATCAGAGAAGGGCTCATTCAGCCCATCAGGCGATTGTTTGAGCATGTATGGGTTAGAAAACAGCTATTTTTAACATGAAATGTTGCGCAATGCACCTTTAAAATTAAGAGTAATGGTCCAAAACAATTAGAAATAAAATTTCTACTTTTTCTGAAAACATGATAAATAATCTATTTGTTTAAATATCTATGAAAATGTATAAAAGTTTTCTTACCTTGAAGATACACGGGAGATTGTCTGTGAAATTCCTGTGTTTCCTGTGAGCCTGGAAATCTGAATCTAACGTTTTATATATCCTGTTGGCAAATAAAATAAATCAAAATTCTGCATTTCCAGGAAAAAATATAACCAAAATCTCCAATCAGACTAGCAGAAATTTTATTCTGTGAATCATTGCTGTATTTAGTTAAGTTTCATCACATAGATAGACCATTGTAGAGAAATTATAACTCTATATAAAAAATTATAAAAATGACCGTTTGCTAGATGTCTTCTCACTGACGTTCGGTCGACCACCATCATTTGAAAAGTCACTCTTCACAGACACAGGGCCGGACACATGTGAGCCTGAGCTTTCACTAATGACACAAAGAACAGTGAGAAAGCACATTTCACTACAGAAGATACTTCAGTCTTATATTGTGTTACTGGAAAGAAGCTCCAGATTGAGTTCAATAAAGAGGAAATCAGACCAGTGGACATTTTATTCCGTGAATCATTGTTGTATTTAGTTAAGTTTCCTCACATTGATAGACCATTGTAGAGAAATTATAACTCTATAATGTAAAACATATAAAAATACCATTTGATAGATGTCTTCTCACTGAAGTTCGGTCGACCACCATCATTTGAAAAGTCACTCTTCACAGACACAGGGCCGGACACATGTGAGCGTGAGCTTACACTAACGACACAAAGAACAGAGAGAAAGCACATTTCACTACAGAAGACACTTCAGTATTATATTGTGTTACTGGAAAGAAGCTCCAGATTGAGTTCAATAAAGAGGAAATCAGACTAGCGGACATTTTATTCCGTAAATCATTGCTGTATTTAGTTAAGAATTGAATTGAAATATCTTTAATGTCCCCAAGCGGCAATTTAGTTCACAACCGGTAGCCAACACATACACATTCACACAAAAACAAACAGATAAAAACATGAGATAATAAATAGATAAAAACATAAATAACATGTACCTATAATTTGTTGAGAAACCCAACAGCTATTGGTACAAATAATTTCAAATATCTGTTGGATCTTGCACGTTTTCGGTAGGTATACCTCCTTCCTGATGGTAGGGGGCAGAACTCGGAGTGTAGAGGGTGAGTGGCGTTAGCCAAAATGGCCATTGCCCTCTGTGTAGCTCTGGCCTTATACACATGCTCAATGCTGTTCAGATCAGTACCAATTATTTTCTGACATATGCTTACAGTTTTTCCCAAACTGTTTTTGTTAATTACACTCACATTGCCAAACCAGCAGATCATAGTAAAATTGACTCAACAAAAGATGAATAAAAAGCTTTCAGAAGGGATCTATCAACATTAAACCCATTCAACTTTCTTAAAAAGAAAAGTCTCTGATTAGTTTTTTTTGCATATATAGTCTGTATTGGTGTCAAAATTCAATTTATCATCTAAAATGTTGCCCAAATACTTGTATTGTCTTTCCACATCTAATGCTATAACATTAATCAATGCAAGTTTCCCCATATAGATAGACCATTGTAGAGAAATTATAACTCTGTAATGTTAAACATAAAAATACCGTTTGATAGATGTCTTCTCACTGATGTTCGGTCGACCACCATCATTTGAAAAGTCACTCTTCATAGACACAGGGCCGGACACATTTGAGCCTGAGCTTACACTAATGACACAAAGAGAGAAGAAACTATTTAATAACAGAAGTTCATCTGTTTTTGTTAACGGCACAGACTCTCTCTATTCTCTTCACAGACGGAATCCTGATGAGGCATTTGCCCAATCAACTGTAAACTTATACTTTTTATATACATTTTTCAAAAAAATCAATGTAACTATAACAATATTTTTGTACTGCAATATAACACTACTGCTGATAATTTGATTTAGACTTAATATTGTTTTTCCTTTTCAGGTTTTAGTTGTTTATCATCTGGGCCACAAAATATGTATTTATTAGGAAGTTCTGCAAAGCATTTGCAAATATAATAGCTTTGTTCTTCACAGGAATAATCTAAAACTTCAGTAGTTTAAAATGATTGTGTGAAAACAAACGCAGTCTTACCTATGTTTCTCTGAGAGACTCATCCTAGAGAGAGAGTCCTTTCCTCGCTCATCTGACATACTAAACTTCCACTGAAAGCAGATCAGCTCTGGTTTGTGGAAACAATCAGTCGTTATGATGAAGAATGTTAAGTTAGCACAGCAACAAACACTATAACAAAGTTCATGGCTCTAAAATGTATAAGTGAATAGACATTTAAATAGTGTGTTAAAACACTGAGAGGGAAAAATTAACCCAGTTTGTTACATTCTCTATTGCAGTTCAGCATAATTTTACAATCATATTCAATTTTTATTAATTGTTGATTATTTTGTCATTTTTTGATCATTATTTCAAATTCAAAAAACATTTAATCATTTTCAAATGCTCCCCTCAACACACGTCTGTTCAATCATTATTTGATATATCATTGAATGAAGAAAAACGAGAAACAAGTTATTCAGCTTGATTGTTCGTTCTGATGATAGAAAAATGTATAAACTATGGAAGTAAAATACTGCCAATGTTTTTAAAACAAAAAAGCTTGTTGAATGGCAGTCCTTGAAAAAAATGTTTCAATAACCCTGCTTGCATTTTAAAGGAGTAGTTCACTTTAAAAAAAACTTTTGCTGGTAATTTACTCACCCCCATGTCATCCAAGATGTCCACGTCATTCTTTCTTCAGTCGAAAAGAAATTAAGGTTTTTGATGAAAACATTCCATCATTTTTCTCCATGTAATGCACTTCAATGGGAGCCAAACTGTTCAAGGTCCAAAAGACACTTTCAGTACAAACTGCAAACTGTTCAAAGGGCTTTAAACGATTCCAGACGATGAATAAGGGTCTTAATAAGAGGAACGATCGCTCATTTAAAAGAAAAAAAAGTTTGTTTGCAGTTTGCACTGAAAGTGTCTTTTGGACCTTGAACCGTTTAGTTCCCACTGAAGTGCATTATATGGAGAAAAATGATGGAATGTTTTCATCAAAAACAACTGAAGAAAGAAAGACATGGACATCTTGGATGACATGAGGGTGAGTAAATTATCAGCAAAAGTTTTTTGAAAAGTGAACTACTCATTTAATGCATTATATTTTTAAAGGAGAAATTCAACATGGTTCTATGTTTAAGCAGTGAATATTTCCATTCAAAACATTTCACACACGTTTTGACCTATAAATATGAGATAATGCGGTAGGCGTAGGCCTACATGATTTGACAGTTTATTTTCTTAAATCTAAAAAATCTAAAAGGTGTGCATCATGGCTGGCATGCTCCTACAAGAAAACCTTACTGTTGGTTTTATCACTGTTAGTCATTGCTCTTCAAATGCTTTTTATGTTAGAAACATATTTTGTATGTAACTTTGGAGACGGTCCATAAATGTGCGAATATATCCAGTGTCAAGCCAGCTTTATGCCAGTATTTCACTGGGAATCTCTCAGCATGAAACTAGTTATAACTATAAAATTCTACTACATTCTATCAAAATTGGCAAATATGTCAATATCTCCAGTAATTTTTATTATTATTTTTTTTGGCAAAGACAAAAGAAAAACGCTGGTAAATATCTGAACTATATATGACAATAATTAATTGATCAAGTTTCTATCAAAGTCTGTGACCAAAAATAAGAAACACATGAAATACCTCTGGTAAGATTGTTCGGCCACCATCTGACGAGTCACTCTTCACCGACAAATTTAAGCACCCTTTTAAAGATAAAGAGTGTGTTCAATAAAGATGTCAAATTAAATATTTAAATTTAATAACAAATTATGCTCTTTGACAAAAAAAAAAAATGAAAATAAAAAATAAAACGCCGACAAAAACAAGGCCTAGCCTACATGAACGTTTAAATTATCTGCAACTGTAAATTGGAAAAGTATTTTCAATTTCGCTTAACAAAAACAACAGCATAAGCGAGAAGTGAAACGTAGAAGAACCTAAGAGAGAAACGCAATAAATTGTTAAGTACTTAGCAGCTAAGTACCTCAAGTCAACATCCGGCCTTAAATTAAAATGTAAAACTTAATACTTACATAGGCCTACAGTATAACAAATCCATGTATTCCCCCTAATAATTAAAATCGAGAAAGTATCAAAACTTACTTGCATTCTTGTCCACTAAAAAGGGAATTTATGCGTATATTAAAAAAAAAATGCTGTCCTCTTACGCCTGTGGCCTGTCAGCGCCCGTCACCAAAACTTTCTCAAAATCTCTCGCTCGAATTGTGGATGGAATATAAATAAATGACCGAAAGTATTACTGTTAATTTAGCACCTACCTTTGGTTGGTGATAAATTAAAATTCTGGGACAGACATTAATCAAATCCAACGAGCAACGCGTTCTCTTGTTATCTCCGTTTGTTTGTGTGTTTTTCCATTCCTCGTAACTTTCGTTTTTGTCTTCTTCTTGGGTTTTACTGACGCGGTTTGAAGCGGCTGAACATGTGCTTACCGCCACCTGCTGGAGCAAGACTATTCTACAACATATCGTAATAAATCCCGCAAGACGAACAAATACTTACACTAATAATAAAATATACTACTATTTAGTAAACAAATTATAATATAATCTAAAGCTTTCCGTCCAACTGGTTTTTGGTTTCATCATCAGCCTACTTTGATGGCATAAACACACTTCACATGTGATGAATTCAAACTGCAGATCAATTTTACATTGTATTACAAGGCTGATAGCATTACATCCTAAAACAAAGCTGTCCGGAATGAAATCCCAGTACCATCACTGTCATTTTCCTATATATAAAAATTAGGATAAAAATAAAAAGCACAAAAATAAAATTATATATAAAAGTGCAGTAATATTTGTATTCAATTCGGTTGAACATTTTAAACACATGCTTTTCTATAATGAGGAAAAAAGATTTTACTAACCATGATAGTGTGGCCATTCCCATTTCTTATTTTTTTCTCTCCATCATTAGAAAGTAGGCTGGCTTTGTGCATGTTAATGATAACGCACTGACTTTGATTTGACAATGAATAAATACAGTGATATGAGAATGTGTTGTCTGTATTGGCCAGAATAACAGGATTATTCTTATACAGTTCGTCTCAAAAACGCTTGTATGCCTTTTTAAACTTCAAGTCTACATATGGATTGTGAACCAATGAATCTTTCAAACAAATAAAAAAATCTTGTTTTTTAAGCTGTTCTGTATATAATGAATAGAAATTCTGATATTAAAATATATGTTAAAAGAAACAATGATTTAACTTACAATTAAGACAAAGTAGACAGTATACAGTTTGTATAATTTGTAATATTTGTGTGGTAAATTTGGATTAGCTAAATCAGATTTGAGATAAGCAACATATACTTCATTATGTTTGTTTAACCTCAATATCACCAGTATCGTTTGCAAAATTTTTATTAAAGAGCCAGATTTCTGCTAACTGACTAGCCTCTTCCTTTATACCACCTGTAAAAAAAAATAATAATAATAAAATAATATATAAAAACATAATTTGCCTGTTTCTGTTAATGCTGAATGGTCACTGAACAAAATAAACCTTAAAAAAAACTATTTTTGCCCTGTCATTTCTCAATGTATACCGTGTTACCGGTTGTTCTCAGTTACTGTTTATCATGATTATATTAATGCTTTTGATTTTCCCTTGGTTATTGAAAAAGTATGTGAACCACTTTAACATTTGTGAATGTTATTTTACTTAGTTTAAAATTCAAGTATTTAGATAGGCTAAGATTTACATATTGAAATGTAGTAAGTTTTGACTGTGAGAAGGTTATGTTAAGACTTACGTTCACTCATCCCTGCTTTAAACAATGAGATGTGTGGTTTAGGAAGTAGCTGATGACCATTTTATTAGAACAAATAAATAAAATGAAATGGGGTCCACGATCCCCCTCCTCAGGGAATAGCATGGCATATCAGCAGTAACAAGGGAAAAATAGATGTTTTCATGTTTAGTCACTAGGGGGCGCGCCAGGAGCCTTATCTGTTTGTGAGCCTTATCTTCATTGTGTTTGAATGCAATGTAGTTAATATGATAACCTAATATATAATAATAAGGCACATCATTAATATAATAAGAGTGCAGAATATCATGCCAAATTGATGAATTAAATACTAGCAGGGAGTGAATTCACACTCTGAACTTTAGATTCTGTCTAAATACATTTACGTTAAATTGTGCACAGAACATGAAGGGTCAGTTTGTGTCTGCTGAGATACTGTCAAACATCTACAGGATGTGGTCTACTGGAACTCAGAGACACAAAATAAACTTCAGTCGGAATAAAATGAGAAATTAAAAGAACAACACAAAGCTCTTTTTGTGAGATCTGATATATCCACATACTAATTTACCACTGATAAAGTGATTCGGTTGCATAGGTTTGGAAATAAGGGAAAGGTTTTGTTAACGCTGTTGTTCTCGAGACATGGTCTGTAACCACAGAGAAGAGAAGATGCTGAAAATAAACCACAAGAACTCAGACCATCTGCAAACATTAGCTTCAGATCAGAGAACAGATATCAGTTTAAGACTTATTGAGGACAGAATCTTTATCATAAAACATAAAACATGAAACTCCAAACATGACTGCTGGACAGTTTTGTTTCAACTATTGGAATTAAAAATGAAAAAAGGGAAATGAAAAGCGAAACAAAGAACCAGTAACCAATCACAAACAAAGTGAACTGTTTTCTGGTGTCTGAGCTTGTGTGTTTAGCACAAAAAACTTTACTGTGGAATAAAAAAAGAGTTAAATGAAGTTTGCAAGATACCATATGTTTCCACTGAATGCTTTACACACTCTCAGCTCAGTTTCAGAGTTAAAGTGAAACCTGTTGCGGTCGAGTGTGTTTCAGGTTAGTTTAGAGGAAGACTGACCAAGATGAATGTGGTTTCTGTTGAGTGGACAAACGTCTCGCTCCTGTTTACTATTGCATGTGTGCGGTTGACTGATGGGTAAACAAGCGAAGACATTATTTTCCTTCAAGTCAGATTCACAAAAGATTCACTGTAAAATAAAGTATAATGAATTCCTCAACAGTGGTATTTGTCAAACCCATCATGCATTATTCAATCAAGAACCTCTCTATTTTCTCTAAAACAGACTGACAGAAGATCATCTCTCAGCACTAAATAAGACCACAGTATTCAACCAAACGTCGACTGCAAGTTTTTGAGACTGACTTGGTCAAGACTGACTTATTCTAATAATATGACCTATTTACAAACAAACCTTTCATTTTAAATCACCAACTTTAATTATTTTACAGCTGTTTGATTGATTGTGTTTCCATACAAACAGTGTGGATAAATAGAATATAATATTATAAATCTAAACTGAATAATGCACATTAAGAAAAATACAGGCCAATAAATGGGCTCAGCACACTAAAAAGACAACGTTAGAGTGTTTTGAACATTACAGAATCTGTATACACGTGCTTGAGTTCATTCTTAAAAAGGCTTTTGGTTAATTTGATTGATTTATTTAGAAAATGTCACCTCGAATGCAAACTTGATTTATCATATTAATTCTATTATTCGACTTGTTACCTATGAGATTGTCCAGGTCTGTGCAAAACCAGCCCAAACATCAATCAATAATAGCCAAAAAGTTAATAAAATAAAACTGGCCCTATCAATCCAAAACATATGCCACTCCCATAACTAAAATACATATTTTAGAGTCACTGTTAAGCTTTATACACATTTTCAACTTAAATCAATCATAAACGTTCAGTTTTGTTAATTTTTTTTATAAATAAGCTTGTTAATATTAACTTACTTCCCAATTGACTGGATTTCCGCAAGCACAACCGGACTAAACTCTCACTGGTTGAACAGATGGATACGTCACCACGTGTTGCAGCGATGACTCGACCACAGGCGCGTGCACGATAATGTGGGTTTCCAGACTGGCGGAGTTCTGAGGCTCTAAACTTTAGCGCTTTACGAAAAATAAACGTATTAATTACCTTTTAGTGTCACATTAGTTTCAGTTCCCAGAGGCTTTTTGAAAATGATTCGCACATTTGTTTTGTTGTTTTTGTTGTGTCTGGTTGGTAAGTTATGAATCTATATTTATGGAAATAGTTTTATCATAAAGTAAGAAAATAAACTTTGTTTAAATATTTACGTCACTTTTGTTCTGCAGGTGTGTTTGATGTTGAGTCAAGTGAAGTTTCAGTGATGGTGGGAGATTCTGTCACTCTGGACTCTAATGTTTCTGAAATGCAAAACAATGAGATCGAGTGGAGATTTGACGGCATTCGCATAGCTAAAGTAATGAAGGGAAATCCTACATATTATGATAATGCGAGATTCACAGACAGACTGAAGCTGGAGAGAACCGGATCTCTCACCATCACAGACACCAGAATCACAGACACTGGAGTCTATGAATTAAGTATTATTATTATTAATAATGAGATAACCAAGACGTTCAGAGTTACAGTTTATGGTGAGTATACTGTATTTCATTTATATTGTAAATAGTAGGCCTATATCATCCCAGTAATGATATCTATATTTCACGATGGTTTTAATATTTTAATAGATACATTCTAGAGACTGTGGTCCCACTTTATTTAAAACAGCATTTTGACTTTTTCAAAGAGGCATCACCTGTTGCACATGTGCATTAGCATGATTTTACAGTTTTGTTTTTTCAGATACGTTTCAGACACTTTGTGATATACTTGTCAGATTCCTGAAATGAAATGTTGTTTAATTGTGAACCAACATAACTCATTCCATTAGATCAGGCGTTTTCAAACCATTGGAGCCTTTCCACATTGTGGATCCCTCACACCCAGTTCAGGTCGCACAGAACTAACACTGCTTCTTCCCTTAAGGCTGCCTACACTTGACGTGAAAAAGCGACCATTGCAAATCTATTTGTTATAGCATTGCCCCGCTCTGCATCCAGTGTAGACAGCATCAATTATTATAATGGGTTATATTTGCTTTTCTCGCATCGCATCCCAAGTAGCCACGGTGTGAGGGAGACTTTAAGATAGGTCACAGTAAACACTCAACACTTAAACACTAATAAATAAAACATTCCTCTTGTTATTCTTAATGTGCAGGTTTCATCTTATTTCATGTTTTGCAGCTCCACTATCCATTCCTGTCATTACCAGTGACATTTCAAAATGTTCATCAAGATGTTCACTGCTGTGTTCAGTGTTGAATGTGAGTCATGTGACTCTCTCCTGGTATAAAGGAATGAGTGTATTGTCCAGCATCAGTGTGTCTGATCTCAGCATCAGTCTCTCTTTACCTCTGGAGGTGGAATATCAGGATAACAACACTTACGAATGTGTGGTGAACAATCCCATCAGCAAACAGACCAAACACGTCTGCATTACCGATCTCTGTCGTTTGTGTTCAGGTGCGTTAGCTGTGAAGTTATAATTATTTTATGAATCAGTTTCTGTTGTGTGATATTATTGTATTTACTGTGTCGTAATATTTTGTTTCTGTGTTTAAGTTCTCTCTTCAGATGAAGGTCATAATTGTGAAAGCACTGAAGCTGTGATCCGATTGGTCGTCACTGCTCTGGTGGGTGTGTCCGCTGTGGCTGCGTTTATTGTGCTGGTTTATGACATCAGATTAAGAAGAGTTGAATTGGAGAGACATCAGACCTTCAATGATGGATCTGATACTCTAAAATAAGAATAAACAGTTTTGTAGCTTTTAAATCGTTCTCTTCTTATTTTTTTTAGGAAAATGTAATATATAAAATATATCCCCCCCTCCCCCCTCCCCATCATATATATGCATATCTGCTCATAGAATCATTCACATGATGATCAGCACAATTTATTTATTTAAATGTAAACAAAAGTAGAGCATATGTACAGTATGTGTTTCAGTTCAAAATATTACTTGACCAAATTTTACACTAAATCACACAGGTCAGAACAACACAATGTAAGATATACTGTATATTTGGCACATATACAGCAAAAAGTATGTGGACACCAACTTCTATTTAACAGGTTTGGTTTTCCAGTAATTCCAGTGAAGACGGACCTTAAATCTACAGCATACAATTACATTCCAGAGAACTATTAAACTGAGAACAAATTAAACTGGGTCACAAATTAGTTCAGATCATTTTGAAAACCCAATTAAACCAATTAAACTGTGAATGATTAAAGGGATACTCCATCCAAAACTGAAAATTCTGTCATCATTTACTCACCCTCAAGTTGTTGCAAACCTGTATGAGTTTCTTTCTTCTGTTGAACTCAAAGGAAGATATTTTGAAGAACGATTGAAACCAAACAGTTGTTTGGCACCATTGACTTCCATAGTACAGTGGGGACTGCAGATGTAAATTAGCCTAAGGCTAACTCTGGTGTAATGCATCAAATGTTTACATTTATGTTATTAATTGCACATGGTCCCTTTAAATAAAAATCAATTCAATTCAATTCAGTAGAAAAAAAAAAATACTATGGAAGTCAATGGGGCCCAAGTTCCAATCGTTCTGCAAAATATCTTCCTTTGTGTTCAGCAGAAGAAAGAAACTCATACAGGTTTGCAACAAATTGAGGGTGAGTGGAGTACCCCTTTAAATATCATCACTAAGGTTCATCACTAACTAAAAACAACAACAACAAAAAAACCTTTTTCGGGGTGTTTTTTTTTTTACGATAACAGTGTTTTAGGGGTCTGAATACAGAAAACATGTTTCAAAGTGCAAGTTTTGAAAACCTTTTCGTCTGCATGTAAACTACAAAAAATGTGAATTTGTGTAAACTGACATCATGCGCATGCCTATTATGCTTTCAGTCTATAGACGTAGTGTTTCTTTGCAAAGTGACATCGCCAGCTACTGGCCTGGCAGCATAATACAGCATTTTTATTTTTATATTCTAATAATCTGTGTGAACAGGGATTATTTTGACAATGTTGTTGTCCGTTTGCGAAAAGCGCAAATAAAAAAAAACAACCCGTATTTAGTACATCATTGTCGTGTAAACGTACCCTCCTGAACAGCTGACATAAATATGGACACACATCATATTTGCTGAAATATTCTCAGGTAAAATGTCTCTTAGGTCGGGAGTGTTCATGGTACGACCAGCCATAGTCGCAGGCACCACTGTATTACAATGTCGACAGGCTGTGGATAAGCATATATGCTAGATTATGCATTTATTTATTTATTTATTTTTAAGAGACAAATATGAAGGCATCAAGGCACGTCCGAATGAAATGTTAGTTTCACTTCCCGTCTCCTGAGAAACCTTCATCTGATCATTTCTTATGCCTTTGATATCCCACAATCCTGTGCTTTCCATTCTAGTTGAACTACAAAAATAAAGATGGCGTCTGATAATTGCGGTTGGTCATCAGTTTGTGTGTAAATGTACATTTTTGATCAACATTTTCCACTTATGTTGTCATTTCTAGCAAGTAATTACTATTGTAGTCATTAATATTCACTTAGTAATGGGAGAAAAAAAAAATCAATGCTCTGTGTTCTCTCGCAAAAGTTTTTGTGTTGCCCAAAACCTTTCTGTCCCCACAAGAAACTTTGCATTCCCCCGTCTGTTCTTTGCAAAGTTTCTCAGAGCAATGCAACATGCTTGTCAGAGAACACAAATGTATTGACGTAAATTTTCTTTTTTTTTTTCCCCTTCACCATGTCTCTTTAGGGGCTCCTTATACTTTTGGGCCCCAATGTACACATAAAAAAAATTATATACAAAAGAATTAAAATTCTATACAAAGATTAGTCAAAACTACAGAAAAAACAACGAACAGAGATTATAGCCCTCCACATTACGGCCATTCAAAGATATTTTTGAGTAAGAATACACTGATCATGACAAACTATCACATCAACTGTATAATAAATGAAAGCATGTTTCTCTATTCATGCAAAACCAAATGGAAGTCTTTCATTTTACAGTGCAAAATGTTTGATTTTCAAACACAGTTAATCTGTTCTGATTATGATTTACTAGTGCTGGGCATCTTTGTTCAATTTCAGAATTGCATCACGCTCTTTATCTGTACCACCATCTATAATAAAACACAAAACAATCACAGACGTTAAGAGAGAGAGCAATAGTGTTAATGCTACAAATTTTGATGTTTTGATTATTAGTTATTTTTTACATTCTCTAATGGGTAAAAATAGTAATGTTTTTGATGCTAAAATACTTTCTTTTCCCAGTTTAATATGCAGTAACATGTTAGAGAAGATAAACACACAATGATATGTCAAAATCTAGGGATTCTCTTTTTAATAAATAATACAATTACAAATAAAATGTTGAAATACCATATACTTGACACAGTAGCTCAGTGGGTAACACTGTCACCTGCTTTGGGTCCCTGAGTCAGGGGGTCTTACCGTCTTTCTGTTTGACATCTTCTCTCACTTTTGATGCGTTTTCTCTGGTTCTCCCCTCTATCCAAAGACAAACAGGACAGGTCAATTGGAGACAGTGAATTGCCCTGAGGTGTGAGTGTGAATGTTTATGTGAGCGCTGTGATGGACTAGCCATCCATCCAGGGTGATTCTACGGCCCAGGACACTGGGATAGGCTAAAGCATCCAGTATAACATACAGTACGACAAGTGGTTTGGAAAATGGATGGATGAATACCCTGTACTCAAATTCACGTCAAAACTGAGAAAAACTGGGTTCATAAAGTAAATTCACTGGGACTTTAATATTGTAATGGTGTTTCTATGGAATGGTTTTTGAGGTCTCAATGAAGTCATCACACAAACAAACTATTCAGAGTGCATTTACTACACAATTATTCAGAAACCAAACATGGATTATTCTGTCCTATCTGTTCTTAGAGTTCGGATATCAGATTCAGATGTGATCAAGTAAAATAGCAGGATCTTCCTCAGCCAAAGGTATTTCAGTTTTCCATCAGTATGGAGTTTTGTTTTACACTGAGAAGAATCATTTATTATTAAGCAGGCTAGTTTTACAAGAAACGTTCATGCCTGAATTGCACTTTTAAATTCATGTTTCTTACCCTTCGCGCTGCAGGATACATTAATACGACCCTTCCAGATCCAGATCACGATCCCGATTACGCTTACAATCACGACCCCGATCACGACTGCAAACGCTGTTTTCCAATGTGAACTCTGGGGGAGCTCTGTAATAATTCAGCAGAGACATGAATGATACACTCCTGCTATTCTGACCTTATATGTTGACAGACAGGCTGATTAACATTGCATATCATCCCAATGCCTAATACAGATGTGCATGAACATTTACATGAGGCTTTTAATAAGACTGCAGTACTCTGTCTCACATCTGCCGGTGATCAACACCAGCAAACAGGTCTTCTCAAAACGTGTTCATTTTAAAGGACACTAATGTCACCATTGTCAAACTCAAAAGTTTTCCATCCTCCCGAGGGTGGGACTTAATCCTTGTGTCGCATTGGAATATCATGCCATTTTTTTTGTAATGCTTAAAAAAGGAATAGTTGACCAAAAATACAAGCTTATGCAATACATTTCTTAACCTTATAGAGCTGGTAAGTCCCGCCCACCTGTAAAACTCCAAGTGGACCTCTAGATTAAAAAAGCGTCAATGCAAGTGAATGAGAGAAAATAATTATTTTCTGATCCCGTTTGAATTGTGCCATGAATGTGACATATGTTGTCTGTGAATTTTTTATGTAATTTCTCATGTAACGAGTTGACAGTATATTGTATGATTCTTTGGCTAGCAGTTGTGGAATAGACATAACGAGAAAGACTACACGTCGCATATGTGACGTCGCCGCATAACACATTTTCCCTCCACAAATCACGGTTTTCACCACGCTCAACTAGTTTGTCCTCGCCCTGAAAGAAGACGGTGAAGTGCACCAAAGACACAGGCATGTGTAGTGGGATCCGTGTGCTAGTGGGGGTGATGTATATCGAACACGTCGAAAGAGTTGTAGTCCACTCTCACACAAAGTCTAACTGTATGAAAATTCTACCCGCTAAATCGTAGCATTCTTTACATGAAACATTATATAAAAAATTCACAGACAACATATGTTACATTCATTGCAAAATTCAAACGGGATTAGAAAATAATTATTTTCTCTCATTCACTTTTGACGATTGACGATTTTTCAACCTAGAGGTCCAGCGGGGTTAGCTGAAGGGGCGGGACTTACCAGCTCTATGCATAAAACATGATGATTTGATAATTAGGCCTATAGAAACCAACAAAATCATTAAAAAAAAAAACCCCGATATATTATAGAAAAGTTTGAGCCACTCACCACTAACCGCAATATGGAATTTCCTGTGTAAGATCGTGCTGCTGTTGTTGATCTCCAGTTCATAGTCTCCAGAATGTTCAATTTGGATGTTTCTGATGATGAGGTCTCGGGTATGATCACTCAGTTTCACCACGTTTCTCCATCTTGCATCAATACTGCCATTTAATCCATTAACTTTCTCGAGACCATCGACGGTTCCAAAGTTTGCATGTTTACATTTACTTAATAATATTACTATCAAACTATTAATTCATATAGACTCACAATATGTCATTTGAAAGCTCAAAGGCTCAAGATTAGAAATCTACAGTCGTGATATTATACCGATATTATATCATAACCACGATAACCTTCTTTTTTGATAAGCATCAACAGTTGGCATAAATACACACAACACCGAAACAGAAGTTCTGAACTGTTTTTGTCCAGTGACGATGACAGATATAATCAGTCACGCAAAACATCGGTGTAGTGTTCATTATATTTATCCGGAAGACAAAATCGGTTAGACTGTTAGTTTAAAAATGGGAAATTTCAGACGATTTCTGAAGCATTAGCTTTGTTTACGCAACATTCTCCTGAGAGGATCACGTTTTTTCATTGTCCAGGAAATTATGCACTCCAAGGCTATTTTGGTGGTAAAACGCTGTAACCATGTTTGTTAGATTCTTATGAACACAATAACCCCGCCCCTGAGTTGTTTTTGCAGCGCTGATTGGTCAGTGACTCAAAACATTCCAACAACGTGACCTAAAAAAACAACAGCTTAATATTCACTTAGTGTAACGCTAGTAGTGCAAAGTTTTTACGTAAAGTCCATTTTAAAAATAATTACAGAGAATAAGAGAATATATTGTTCGGATTCGTCATTCAGCCAAATGTAAATGTTCAAGCACAGAATTTTGTACTAAGGAAGCTTAATTTTGTATTTTTACTGAAGTCTCCTTGAGTAATTTATGGGCCGCTGGGATCATTGCAAAAACAGGCTAACAGTATTGGACAGGTGTTTTTTAAACACTCCCCTTATCTTCTATTGGTTGCTCAAACAGGTAGTCCTGACCCATATGTTGAGTTAATGTTGCTTTGTCAAGCTGGTTGAAACAGATCAAAGTTTGGAAAACAGCACAGAGTCACAGATTTCCCTTTTCATGGAAATCTATGAATGGCTCACATAGTTGATGCTGCAGAATAAATTGGGAGAGGAAAATATATTTTAACATTGAAAACACATCACTTTTAGATCTTAAAATCAACATGAAACAAATTTAGCAACCCATGTTTAATGTAATTTGACGCGTTACTAAGTGAAATGGTATATTCAATGAGAAAAAAAAATAAATAAATAGGGCAGGACTTTATTATTTTACACATCACAATTGATTCGATGGTAAAAGTGTTCCACATTAGAATGGAGCCAGACCTGAATGTGACTCCCACAACATCCTATAAAGAATTGCTCTTTAAAAAGAATCTGATAAATCAACAGACGGAAATATTAAGTGCCAAACAGTGAATGTATGTAGAGTGGATGGCAAAAGAACAGTTCGGAATCTCAGATCTGAACATATGAATCAAACTTCAGAATGAACTGACATGAGAAGAGTCATGTTTCTATCTTGATGTGCCACTGTGCTTTCAGACCAAACATGAATGTTTTGTTTCAGACCAAACATGAATTTTTCAAACCAAAAATGAATGTTTCAGACCAAACATGAATGTTTTAGACAAAATAAAACTGTTTTATTGTTCATACAGAGTTGGTGTCAATCATGTTCTGTGTTTCACCTCATATTAATTACTGCTAATTTAAAATTACTATTTTTGTTAAGTTATATTCTTCAAGAGGAAAACCTTAGGAAGCTCATTTCTTAGTGGCTGAATCTTCAATTTGCATTATAACTTGGTCAGAAGAATTGTGGCTTGGACTTCATTGCTTATTAAGTTGTTCTGGGACATTTTCATTTATTTACTCCTAAATATATTTTATGTAAATACACTTACTATTACTTTTCAAAATATTTAAGCCTCAAAGCAGTCTTTATGAACACTGAAATAATTAATTCATATCCTTGTGAAACAAACTCTCAACTCTCATCTTTCTAAAGAGCTGTCAGTTTTGTGTGTAGTCCAGAGGGTTCATGAACTGTGACTGGTTTGGTGTGTATATGTCAGGTTTGGGTTTGAGCTCAACTAGCAGGGGCGACTGTTAACAGGTTAAGTCAGCAATGAGGACGCCTCGATCTCTAAACTTCCACAGTATCTGATCATCTTTCTCTATTTTAGTCACACCAGTCTGTAGAGTGACGGTATCTCCCTCCATCAATGACACTGACTCCACATCATCTGTACAACAAACACAATTGAATTTAGACTATTAACTCTGTCAGTCTACCCATTCATCTTTTGCAGTTGCTTTGCAAATATATAGCGAAAATCTACACAATTACCTGAATTGAAAATGGTCATAAAATAAATGTACATTCATGTACTATTTTATACAGTTCCATTATGTCAGATATATAGAATAAGCACACTGTACTCTGAATATCTTTGCTAGTTGCTGATTTTATTTTAACTATTTATTTTACAGGGAAAAAAAAATCAAAATCCATCTATACAGGTGAAAAATGATCATTTAGCAGCATAATCTCTTTTTTTAAATAGTTCTCAGACAATTAAAGTGCCAACAAAGGTTATGTTACAAAGTATTGAGTTGAACTTTTGTTATTGACCAAATACTTATTTTCCACCATAATTTACAAATAAATTCTTTAAAAATCCTACAATGTGATTTCCTGGATTTTTTTCTTCTCATTTTGTCTCTCATAGTTGAAGTGTACCTATGATGAAAATTACAGATCTCTCTCATTATTCTAAGTAGGAGAACTTGCACAATCAGTGGCTGACTAAATACTTTTTGGTCCCACTGTATACAGTGGTATGAATAAGTTTTGGCACCCATGCTAAAGTTGCCTAAAAAGAGGAATAAAAAAAATCATCTTTTGGATATTGATCTTAATGCCTTAATTAGAAAAATGAGGAAAAGTCCAATCTTTAAGGACACCAATTTTCTTTGTGAATGAATAATGTATCATATAAATAAATGTTTTTCCTTAAAATACAGGGTGCATAAGTCTGGGCACCCCTATGTTAAATTCCCATTGAGTCAGGCAGATTTTTATTTTTAAAAGCCAGTTATTTCATGGATCCAGGATAATATGCATCCTGATAAAGTTCCCTTGGCCTTTGGAATTAAAATATCCCCACATCATCACACACCTTCCACCACACCTAGAGATTGGCATGGTTTTACTTCAGTTAGCCTAATAGCTGGTTTGATTTGCATTGAAAGATGATCTTATGGAAAGTACCCCATGCCAATCTCTAGGTGTGGTGGAAGGTGTGTGATGATGTGGGGATATTTTAATTCCAAAGGCCAAGGGAACTTTATCAGGATGCATATTATCCTGGATCCATGAAATAACTGGCTTTTAAAAATAAAAATCTGCCTGACTCTATGGGAATTTAACATAGGGGTGCCCAGACTTATGCACCCTGTTTTTTAAGGAAAAACATTTATTTATTTATGATACATTATTCATTCACAAAGAAAATTGGTGTCCTTAAAGGTTGGACTTTTCCTTATTTTTCTAATTAAGGCATTAAGATCAATTTCCAAAAGATGATTTTTTATTCCTCTTTTTAGGCAACTTTAGCATGGGTGCCAAAACTTATTCATACCACTGTATGTATATAGTCAACAGCAGCACACCTGCTCCAAACACAGTGACACTCAAAAATGTCCTGTTACTAGCTAAAATTACAACAACATCACATCTGTGTGAAACACAGCAAATCCAGTGTTACTCCCATATATAGCAGAAACAACACAACCATGGCGTTTGTTTTTAAGCCTTTCCACTTAGGTCTCTACAGCACTGGAAAGCTTTTCCAATATTAACGCAGGTCCTAAAGCTCCCGCCTGATCATAACCCATCTTCTTTCCAGTGATATTCCTCTGAGCATTTCTTTAAATCTCTAGGGCTGCCCTCGGCTAAAGATTTTCCTAGCCAACTCTTATGTGTGCCATTAGTCGATTAGTCAGGAGAGAAATGCTAAACCAAAATAATGAGCATTTAAAATATAAATTAAGTTTGTCACAGCGACAATGACATCCATCGCATTAACTTTTCTGAGATCAGGACGCAAACAAAATAAGTAACCTAGATTATAAATAACAGACTTAGAAAGAAACACTATTGTCAGTGTAGGAGCATTCATTATTTGAATGTATTATTGGTTATTAAATATTCACTGTCACTAGGGTACAAGTGATCACTTCCGTTTTATTTACTATTTTCTTTGGCGGATTGTTTAATTCTGTGTTTGGAAGTTGGTCAACTTTCTGTTGACCGTATTGCGTTCGTTGAATCATGTCTGCATAAGTCAAGCTGAAATAAAGTTGAAATCAAGTAAGATTGTCAGTCTATTGTTTTGGTATTGGTAACGATATGCAGTGGTGGAATGTAACCAAGTACAAATACTTTGTTACTTTACTTAAGTACATTTTTCACGTATCTTTACTTTACTTAAGTAGAATGAATAGTGCATACTTTTTACTTTTACTTCGTTACATTTTACAGCAATTATTTTACTTCTTCCTACTCCTTTTTGCACATGTAAATAGAGGGTTGTTTTTTTGTTTTGTTTTTCTTCAAGTATTGGAAAGTTTGGATTTTTTTTGTTTTGTTTCTTTTAATTAATATTCCATGTTTCATTGATTAATAATTGTATTTTTACTTATTATTTACATGTTCAAAATAAAGATCTCAAATCAAATCAAATCAAATTATTCTACTTTCTACTCCACTACATTTCTACAACTTCTGTTACATTTTCTGATCAGTTTTTCCCCTGCCAAATCGTAATCTGACCATCCGTTCGTTGCACGTTTGTCTCACCAGTGACGTTTGGTTGCCACAGATACAGTGCCCTCCACAATTATTGGCACCCCTGTTTAAGATGTGGTCGAGGACTTCTAAAAATTCTACTTTTTTTTAAACAACATTGAACCCAAATGCAAAAAAAAAAGAGAAAAATCCAACCTTTTATTAAAGTACATTACTTTGGTGGTTAAAAAAGATCACACATTTAAAAAAAAAAAAAAACTTAAAATCATGTGTCCCATAATTATTGGCACCCCTAACAATTCCGCTGAAAAATGAAATTTATTTTCATTTTAATATATTTGTCTGTATTTCCTAAAGTTGGTCAGGGTATCTATGAACTTTTAATTAGTAATTCATGACTTCCTGTTTCCCTGGGGTATAAATATGACGTGACACAGAGGCTTAATTCTCTTACCCATTTGTCAACATGGCAAAGACAAGAGAACACACCATTCAAGTAAGGCAGATGTGTGATGACCTTCATAAGTCAGGCAATAGCTACAAGAAAATAGCCACTCGCCTTAACTTGCCTTTATCTACAGTCAGAGGAATCATTAAGAAGTTTCAAACAACTGGAACAGTGACAAACAAGGCTGGAAGAGGTCCCAAGTTTATCTTGCCACAACGCACTGTGAGGAGGATGCTAAGAAAAGTAAAAAAAAGTCCTAGGCTCACTGTCACAGAATTGCATCAAATAGTGGCATCTTGGGGTCACAAAATCTCCAAAACAACCATCAGACGCTCTCTACATGCCAACACGATGTTTGGGAGGCATGCAAGGAAAAAGCCTTTTCTCACCAACTCTCACAAACGTAAACGTCTGGAGTTTGCCAAGCGGCACTGGGACTTCAACTGGGATCGTGTGCTTTGATCAGATGAGACTAAGATTGAGCTTTTTGGCAACAAACACTCTAAGTGGGTCTGGCGTAAATCAAAAGATGAGTATGCCGAAAAGTACCTCATGCCCACCGTGAAGTATGGTGGAGGATCTGTGATGCTGTGGGCCTGTTTCTCTTCCAAAGGCCCTGGGAACCTTGTTAGGGTGCATGGAATTATGAACGCTTTGAACTACCAGGACATTTTAAATAAAAACCTGTTAGCCTCTGCCAGAAAGCTGAAGATGGGTCGTCATTGGGTCTTTCAGCAGGATAATGATCCAAAACATGTGGCAAAATCTACGCAAAAATGGTTCAGCAGTCACAAAGTCAAGGTCCTCCCATGGCCATCTCAGTCCCCAGACCTCAACCCAATTGAAAACCTGTGGGGCGAGCTGAAGAGGAGGGTGCATAAGAGAAGACCCAGGACACTGGATGATTTAGAAAGATTGTGCAAAGAAGAATGGTCAAAGATCCCTCTCTCTGTTCTCCAATCTTGTGAAATGTTATAGGAGGAGATTAAGTGCTGTCTTGTTGGCAAAAGGGGGTTGTACAAAGTATTAACATCAGGGGTGCCAATAATTGTGGGACACATGATTTGAAGTTTTTATTTTTTTAAATTTAAAAAAAAATTTTTACCACCAAAGTAATGTACTTAAATAAAAGGTTGGATTTTTCTCTTTTTTTTGCATTTGGGTTCTATGTTGTTTAAAAAAAAGGGAGAATTTTTAGAAGTCCTCGACCACATCTTAAACAGGGGTGCCAATAATTGTGGAGGGCACTGTATATCAACCCGGTCACACTAAATGTGCGTTTATCGTGCGATTTATACGCAAAAATTTGTCTGTATGTGCATAGGAAACGCACCGTGTGTAATATACGTTTGGTTAGGATTATGGCAAGCCAAGAGGTTCAGAATTACACCATAAATGAATCGCGTCTACTGCCAAACATAGTTATTAACATATAGTAAGGATAAGCATGATGTGTATATTGCCTAATTGCAAGCTTGTTTCAGAAATTATGACAACAATTTTTTTTCCATCATTATTGAACATCATTATAGGAGTATTAGGTTGAATGAGTTAGAATTAAATGTTTTATTAATCATTAGAAAATAGACATTAAGAGAATAAATTATGCAAGTACTTTTACTTTTAATACCTAAAGGATTAGTTCACTTTTGAAAAAACTTTTGCTGATAATTTACTCACCCCCATGTCATCCAAGATGTCCATGTCTTTCTTTCCTCAGTCGAAAAGAAATTTAGGTTTTTGATGAAAACATTCCAGGATTTTTCTCCATATAATGGACTTCAATGGGAACCGGATGGTTCAAGGTCCAAAAGACGGTTAATAACTGTTTCAGATGCAGCTTCAAATGTCTTTAAACGATATCAGACGATGAATAAGGGTCTTATCATGCGAAACGATCAGTTATTTCAAAACTTATTCCAAAAATGTAACTTTTATAAGGACAAATGCTAGCATTGCTCTATTCTGTGAGGCGCGTTTGCAACGTCACGTATTACGTAATTACGTTCAAAAGGTCACGGGCGACGTAGCCGAAAGTACAGAGTCAGTGTTTACAAGTTGAACGCATAGGTTGAACGTGCAAACTAACTCAAACACCGTTTACAAAAAAAGGAATTAAAAGGAAAAACAACGATGTCGGACGATTTTGATTCTGTACTTCTGGCTACGTCGCCCGTGACCTTTTGAACGTAATTACGTATTACGTGACGTTACAAACGCGCCTCAGAGAATAGAGCAAGGCTAGCATTTGTCCTTAGAAAAGTTACATTTTTGGAATAAGTTTTGAAATAACCGATCGTTTCGCATGATAAGACCCTTATTCATCGTCTGGTGTCGTTTAAAGACATTTGAAGCTGCATCTGAAACTGTTATTAACACTATCTTTTGGACCTTGAACCATCCGGTTCCCATTGAAGTCCATTATACGAAGGAAAATCCTGGAATGTTTTCATCAAAAACCTAAATTTCTTTTCGACTGAGGAAAGAAAGACATGGACATCTTGGATGACATGGGGGTGAGTACATTATCAGCAAGTTTTTTCAAAAGTGCTTTAAAGTACATTTAAAATCAGGTACTTTTTACTTTTTACTTAAGTATGGTTGTCATTGTGTTAATTCTACTTTTACTAAAGTAAATATTTATCTGGTTATTTGTACTTTTACTTAAGTACTGAGATTCAGTACTTCCTCCACCACTGACGATATGATGACCGAGTCACGAGTAATCCCGCTAGCATCTATGTGGCTATTGGATGCCGCAAACAGTCGGGGAGAACTCTTGCTCACAACGAAGCCGGCCTTTGCACTCTGAAGACGTGGATGTGGAAACGAAGTTAAACGTGCGGTCCTAATTTAGCGTCCAAACTCCACATGAACACTGGAATGTCCCCACACTTTGGATTTTCTGCCCAAAATATTACCGCGTGGACCAGCCGTGGTAATGACCTGTCACTACATGACACTGCCAATACCTGTGGAGATTTTTTTTGCGACTCATAATAAAAATTTAGATCACCAACCCTCTTCTTATCGCCTAGTTTATTAGTAGGGGGCTAATCTCCCTCTCTCTCCTCCCCCATTATGATAGGACACGTCCCCTATGGTCTGATCCAATTTTAACAGCGTTTCTCAGAAATTGCTTACAGCACCTTTGATTATCACATATTAAGACTCGAGTTACTCACCACGGACAGTAACACTGAATCTCTTTGTTGTCACAGTTGTGCTCTTGATCTTTAGTTGATAAAGTCCAGTGTGTTCAGTTCTGATGTTTCTGATGGTGAGAGATCCAGTTTGTTTGTCCAGCTCCAGTCTGTCTCCGAATCTCTCATCTTCCTTAGTAGAGAAGATCGCAGTTGCTTCATTCATGTTAGCTATGATAGAGTTATCATCTCCAAACATCCACAGTATCGTATCTTCTCTCTTTATTTCAGTGACATTAGTGTTTAAAGTGACAGAATCTCCCTCCATCACTATCACCGTCTTCACTCCGTCTGCCACAGCAACAAACACATCTGAAGAGAGATTGCAAAGAGTTATTTATGTGCTGTTATTATTAATAATTCATTTATCTTTTTTATATAGCAAAAATTTCAACCGTAGTCCCTGGGCGGGGGTACAATACTGCTGAAAAGCAGTGTATTCACAAAGAAAATAAAAATCCTTTTTAATATGAACTCACAGTGTTGCTATACTTGGTGTAATCTATTATAAATAGTAAAAAAAAATAAAGGGAGGAGAAAACATACTCATGCCAGAAAATTGCTCAATCCTCGCTGGGTTGGATTCGTCATTGGATTTGACATGACCAGATGGAGAAACTGAAACACAAGAGAATCAAAATAAACTACACACAAAATGATTTGTATAAAAAAGGTTATTTTTTTACAGCCTCAGATGTTAGATTTTGATCTTTTCTACATGTGTAGTAAATGTTAAATATGATTTATATTTAACAAATATGATATTGCATTATCATATATGCTTTTAGACACTGAGATTTATTTTTTATTTTTCTTTAGTATTTCTATCCAGATAAAACAGTAAGAAATAAGTTTGTGTTGTATTCAGAACATTTTTACAGGCCGTTAGAGACACTTGGTGTGATACGTGCACAACCAACTTGCCCTGCAAATATTATTTTTCACTAAATTGAAGAAAAAAATCTCCTGATGTATTCTTTGGCTAATACAGTGAGCTGATCTATAAAATCTTATAGAAATTAGTTTGTCCCCAATTAGCAATTGCATTTGTATATTTTGAAAAAATTCCTAATATTGCACCAGGTCAAACAGTGCCATTCATTTAAAGACATTTTGGATTTTTAATTGGATTTTACAGTGGTGACTCAACAGCATATAGACCATTTCAAAAGATGTAAACAACACTGGTCCAGAAGCACTTCCTGTTTCAGTTTGTAACTGTTTTCTTTATTTCACATGTAAAGAAAACTTCTTAAAGATGTTTGTTTAACTTTTTGATTCAGTTTTAAATGTTCTGTTGGTTGTATTTTATCCCAGCTTTTATGTAGTGTTAAAAAACTGAAACAGGAAGTGCTTCTGGACCAGTGTTGTTTACATCTTGTGAAATGGTCTATAGTAGAAAGATGCAAAACATATCAGGCCAAAATCAGCATGACTCAGACACTATATACACACACACACATCATGCTTATAGGCCCACATAAAAGCACATTATAAATATTATGCGTGTCTCAAACTTTAATATAGGCAAACGTTGTCACATTTATCTAAAGCAAATAAATATAGTAAATTGTGAACAAGTAGTGCAACTACTGAGTCTGACACAACCGACCCCACGAGGTCATTAAGCAGACGCTTGAGTCCATTAATGATGCGCAGAATATTATAGGCCGTCAGCGCCCTCTAGCGTATATATCACCAAACACACACACGACCAATACCCCCCAATACACACTTAACTGGTGCTGTGTGATTTATCACGTCTATTTGACTAAAATTAATACAAGTTTGTATTTTATAAAACACTTGAAATATTAAAACAGGAGATAAAGCAAATGCTCATTTTCTGCTGCTTATATTGAAACCGAAAGTGTTGAATATTAATAAAAATAAATGTCTTACCATCCACGAGTAATAAAACCCCAAAAAGAAAGGGAAGGTTCCTCATAGTGATGCCGTTCCTGGCCGCATCTAAACTGAATGACAGCAGTGATTCAGTGTGGTCTACTGATGACGGACAAACCAACCAAGTCACGGGGTTTCTGCGAAAGAGGATGTGTTACGTCATAATATTCGAAGTGAACCTGGACAAGGTCAAAAGGTCAACACTTTTGTTCATGGTATAAAATAGACACAGACACACACACTTGATCTGGTATAAAAATAGTTTTTTTTTTTTATTCGTAGTTAGTTCAGATTATTTATTTATAGTGTGAGTTGTAAAAATTGTCCAGCGGTCAGTTAATAAAATGACCCAATAGAAATAAAAGTTTTTTTTTTTTTTTTTTTTTTGCAATATTTAGTCAATAGCAACAGTCATCGTTAGCTTTCCTAGACCACCCACGTATTACGATGCCACGTGTTTATCAAAAGAGTAGCTAGCCTACTTCAGAACCATGCAAGAACCTAAACAATGATTTAATAATAATAATAATAATACACATCTCATTAAAATAATAGCCTAATAAGTAGCCTATACTTACTTGATGCTTGAAAACTTGATGACAAATGATGACGGCTAATGGGACACAAAATAGTCTCCCACAATCCACAGAATATGCTAGGCTACTTACCACCAGGAAAGCTCAGGTAAGCTATTCGCTTTCCGTAGACCGAGAGCATGAATGAACATGTTCCACACATGCGCACTAGGACTACCAAGTGAGGCCTATCTGAGAAGACTGCAAACATGTAATTTTCAGACGAGTACATGAATGTTTTTAATTTTCAAGTGGTTTCCTCATTGACTGATTAAAGATATCGGTCTCTGTCCGACTGTCTGTTCTGTGTCTCGGCAAAACATAAATAAATAAACAATAAACACATTGAATATCAATTGTATCTGTATCTTTTGAACGTAGGTGTGTGCTCCACTAACGGGGCTCCGTTAGAAGCGTTATAGACAGGAGAATTGTTAATTTTTATATTCTTAAATCTTGAATATTCACAGAAAATGGCAGAACAAAACATAGGATATTTGATATCCAGTTTGATTGGATATTGTACAACCGTGATAGCATGTCAAAAAGTAACAAATATGACCACGAGGTATTAAATGTGTAGTTATTCAACCACGCACATTCATTCATAAAGAAAATGGCGAAGCAAGCGGCTGGTGACGACAGTGGTGAGGTGAAAGTGAAAGTATAAAGTAGGTCAACGCACAATAAGACGTTTCATAATAAAAGTCTCACTAGTATACAAATACAGCACAAAGAAAATTTATAACTTCCAAGAAGTATTACCACCCCATGTTGATCTTTGCATGAATATATATATATATGCATATGGATAGGCTATATATAACCTACATGTAACACACAAAAAAGTAAGCCAATACAATAAATTAAAACAAACTCACATCAAACACACATCTAAAAATACTTAATAATGCAATGTGATATGATATTTGTCAAAAAGAGAGATATTTATTATGTTATGTTATTTATTATATTATGATGCGTGAGCAAGACACCCCAGAAACAGATGGGCAAGGGTCTGAGGTCAGGGGGTCATCTAGTTAAGAGGGGCTTAAAGGGTTAGTTAGTGATAAATCAAAATGCAGAAAATGGCTCTTTGTCTGTGGAAAACTACTGGGAAGCTCTGGGAAAGAACTTTGAAGTAGCAGTATAAACATTTACCACTCACTCACCTGGTGACTGGGCCTTCTTGCAAGAATAATTCTTTCTCTTTTTATTAATTTGACTCTTGAGTGTCTATTACGCAATGATGAGGTTTAACAGAATTTAACAGAAAGAGCCAAAAAAAAAGTCTTTAAAATGCAAACAGTTAAAGAAAAGCTTAGCTAAAAGCGGTCACTGGAGGGCTTTCTTGTTAAAGGGTTAGTTCACCCAAAAATGAAAATTAAGTCATTCATTACTCACCCCCATGCTGTACCAACCCCGTAAGACCTTCGTTCGTCTTCGGAACACAAATGAAGATATTTTTGATTAAATTTGAGAGCTGTATAACTACCACATTGGCTCCTAAGGGACTGCCTCTTGACGGCCCAAAAAGTCAATGAAGAAAATGTTTAAATATCCCAAGTGACTACCGTGGCTCAACTATATGTTTATCAAGCGACGCGAATACTTTTTGTGCGAAAAAACAAACAAAAATAACGAGTTTATTCGACTATTTCTTTTCTTCCTTGTAGGCCAGAACGAGAATTCCTTAGATTTCCACGACGCATGCGCGAGATTTGCGATCTGCTTACACCAGATTAGATCGCAATTCTCGCGCATGCGTCGTGGAAATCTATAAGGAAGTCTCGTTCTGGCCTACAAGGAAGAAAAGAAATAGTCGAATAAACTCGTTATTTTTGTTTGTTTTTTCGCACAAAAAGTATTCGCGTCGCTTGATAAACATATAGTTGAGCCACGGTAGTCACTTGGGATATTTAAACATTTTCTTCATTGACTTTTTGGGCCGTCAAGAGGCAGTCCCTTAGGAGCCAATGTGGTAGTTATACAGCTCTCAAATTTAATCAAAAATATCTTCATTTGTGTTCCGAAGACGAACGAAGGTCTTACGGGGTTGGTACAGCATGGGGGTGAGTAATTAATGACTTAATTTTCATTTTTGGGTGAACTAACCCTTTAAGTTGTTAGTCTTTGTTTGAGATTCCCTTCAATGGCATCCTTGCTGAAAATAATTTCCCAGGTTTGTTGATTCGCTGAGGGTCTCGTCTTTCTAAAGTGACATCTTTTTAGAGGCAAATCACAGTGGTGGGGCTTCAAAATCTCTGCTTACTAAATATATGGTATTTGGTTTAAAAAGAAAGTGACCTAGGGCTATATATGTATGGGTTTCCATTGGAGAAGGTAAAGGTTTTTCAGTGTTTGGGTGTTTGGTTTGAAGAGTGTATGGGCTGTGCATGTAGGTAAAATTGTATTGAAGAGTGAAAAAGTTTTGAATGTAATGAAAAGTCTGGTTGGGTGTGAGTGTGATTTGTAAAATGTGTAAGATTAATATTAATAATATTTTAAAATTTGATTTTCCCGCTAAGACAAAAGCTGAGATCAAAACACCCAATAAAACATATCCCAGGAGAGAAGATCTCAAAAAAAGAGCACAGGACATCGTCTTATCCAAACTTTTCTCCTTCTTTATCTGCACATCTCCCTTCTCCCAGATTCAAATCACAGGTGGGGTCTATTCAATAATCCTCTACTCGCCCTGGAAAACCAAGTGTAACCCTCTGGGTATAGACCCAAAACAAGCCTTTTGGTCTGGTCTGGGTATTTAAGGGTAAGTGAGAGCAGTCTTTGGGAATCTGTAATCAGAAAACCCCCATGCAGTGCTGTATCTTAACCTCGGATCACACCACTGTGTGTCTCTGTCAGTTCTGCATCGAGTCCTCTTTGAGCAATTGACGTTATGTATTATTTCTGGAATGGCTTTCCTTGTGTAATTGGCATGATACATTTTTGCCTGACAAATAAAATGTTATATTTGATTCGTCTGGACTCTCCTGAAATCATTATGACCAGTAGATTATGAGGAGGCTGGTGTAAGGGGATTTACAGTCAAAGACCCAGAACCAGATATGATGAATGAAGACCCGGAGTCAGAGTTATAATAAATCGAAGAAAAGTTTTACTGAAGACAGTTTGCAGTTTCATCAGCAGAAGTGCGCTTCGAGACTCACATGGAGTTCGTAGGCCACTGTTACGGCATTTAGATATCAAACACAGACATTAGAGAGCACATGAAGGAATATTTAAGTAATCACACTGAACTTCAAAAGCCTAGAAAAGTCATTCAACTCATTTGATAATTAAGGGGAAAATATTGATTAATACTTTGATTATAATCATTTATTACAAGCAGAACATTGATCCCAGAATCCACCCCTTCACAGATCTGTGTCCAGGATAGGTCAGACTAAAGGCGCATGTATGAATGGAGCAATACACGTTTTCTGAAGAGCTTTTGATTTCTGTCTATCACTGACTTGGCAAGTGGCTAAATAAACTAAACTTTTTTGTACCAGTGAGCTGTAGGTAAACGATTAAAGAGGTGTTAGCAAACCCTGCACAATCTGACCAAGATCACAAGATCGTTTCTAACGCAAAATTTGATAATCATTTGAAAATGGAGTCAGATTAATCGTGGAGCTAAAGTAAAAGTGGAACTAAATTCGAATAAATTAAGTGTACTTTACTGAGGTGCTGAAAAGACACACATTACACCGTTGGATTCGTTGGGCCGACGGGTGGTCCCTTGATGCATTTAAGAAATTATTTAACTACACATTTTAAAGAATTTCACTTTCATTGTGTGTAATTTGATATATTTGTGTGGTAAATCAGCTCTAAGATTATCAGCATGTTATTTGCCTCATTATGGATGAGTTTAATACCAACACCATTATGTTTGTAGCAGTGATGTGCGGTGGCGGTTTAAAATGAGGCGTCTCTCATTTTTAAAAAAATATACTGTATATCAAATTTAAATGCATGTCCGTTACACTTAATATTCCTTGTTAAATAAACATTACATAAATTCCAAAATAATAACTAAAGACAGTAACAATGTAAACAATGTATGCTATTTGTGAATTAATGTTCAGCTTTTCTTTTTAATAATCAACTTATATTTCAGCAGTCATCAAGCTTGTACACACTGGTCAAAGACACAAATATGTACTGTTCATTTCCCCAAGCTGATTGCTCATTAAAACAAACCCAGTCATCAAGTTTTTAGACCATTTCAAGTTTGATTTTGACATAACATAAATGGTGAAATGGTGAAACAATGCAAGTAGTTCACTTACTTTTTAATTATAGTCTTCCCAATAGCAGCATCATTTTCTTCATTCAGGCCGATGAGAACGAGCACAAAACAAGTGGCGGGATTTATTGCGTAAACCAATCAAATCATATCAATCACAGCACCATGGAGTCATTGCCTCCTCTAATGTGACTTTCCCCCATTCATACTCAATTACCCCCACTAAACCCACCGCACACATTGGGCTGTCTGTTTTAAGTCAATGGGGACAAAGGAGGTGCGCTATATCTTCATCTGCGGATGTTGCTGTAACTATATAAAAACGAGTGACTTTTACACTGTTCTAATGTTGAATTTTGTAATATTTGTGCCGTTTTAATTTCTGTAATTTGGATTATTATGTCTTCCAGTTTTTTGAGGAGTCACTGTCTCCCTTGACTAAGAGGAAACACCCCTGGTTTGTCTGCCTTTTCCTGAAGAGCCAGATTTGTGTTTTTTGGACCCGTCTGATCTCGGAACAGACTGAGCTTCATCCTCCCGTGTTCCTCCTGTTAACAACCAAAACTATAAGCTGCATGTTTCTATTAATACTGTATCATTTCATTCAAACATCTCAATGTCTTGACACATTTGTGCATTTTACATAAGTTAAGCTAGTATAAGCTAGTGTAAACTTAAATAATATAATTCAATGCCATTTCAATTTTCTGTCAGATAAACACATATGTATGAACACACTCTCGTTCAGTTCATAACGTAAGTACTGAAAAGTGTTACCTAGTGCTGTTTTAAAGGATTTATAACTCATACAAAGATTGAGTTCATTTTTTGTGCTTGTATTCTCAGAGTTTATATTTGAAAATGAGGTATATTGTAGATTTAGCTGAGACATCACATC